GCCCTTCCATTAAACCACGCCCATTCCATTTAGCCACACCCACTCCCTTTATATTAATCTATTCCTTTAGCCACACCCATTCCCTTTAGCCCCGCCCCCTTTTTGAGGCTCCCACCTCCCTTTTGAGGCCACGCCCACCTCAACCCAGCCCCTTTTCTGAGACCACACCCTTTTCTTCCTTCCCACCCAAGCCCTGCCCCCTTTTTAGGCCCTGCCTCTTTTTGAGSCCACACCCCCTTTTCACGACCCCGCCCCTTTTGCAAGCCCCGCCCACCTTAGGGGCGTATCCCGGGAAGAGGCGCCGTGCGATTGGTGGGAGGAGCTTCTGCAGCGCCCCCTGCAGGACGGAATCCAATTGGAGGGCGGAGATTGGCACCGCCCACGAGAGCACCTGACAGGGAAAGGGGCGGGGTCACAGCCGGAAGGGGCGGGGTCACAGCCGGAAGGGGCGGTGTCACAACCGGAAGGGGCGGTGTCACAACCGGAAGGGGCGGGGGCAGGAAAAGGGGGGAGTGGCCAAAAAATGGGGGCGGGCCTTCAAGGAATTGGGATCTTTCCTGGCCCCGCCCCCATTTTTTCTGGTTCCGCCCCCATTTTTTATTGCCCTGCCCCCCCCATTAAGCCCCGCCCACCATTTTTCCCAGCCACGCCCCCAACTTTGAGTTCAAAAATTCAATTTTTGGATCCCTGGACCGCAGTTTTTGTAGCCATGCCCACAATTTTTGTAGTCCCGCCCCCATTTTTGTGCCCCGCCCTCATTTCTTCAAGCCACGACCCMAAATCTCGAGGCCACGCCCACCTGGTGATGCTCCGCCCACCCTCCTCGAAGCTCCGCCTCCTCCCGCAGCTCCCGCCCRAACTGCTCCGAGAAAAGCGGGAACTGGAACACGTCCGGACACGGCTGAGGGGGAAAAAAACAAAATTTGGGGTAAATAAACCCAGAATTGGGATCAGGGACCCCAAAAATGGGATCAGGGACCCCCAAAACCCCCAAATCACCACAAAAATTGATAAAAAACCCCAAAAAACCACAAAAAATCCACCAAAATTAACCCAAAAACCAACAAAAATTGATTTTTTGTTGGGGATATTTTGGGGATCTTTGGGGTATTTTTGGGGTCAATCCCGGCGTTTTCGGTACCTCCTGCAGCAGCTGCTCCTGGAAGATGCGGCTCTGCTGCGGGTGCAGGTACAGCTCATCCCAGTCCTGCAACGGGGAACGGGGACACTGCTGGGGACTG